GATGTGGATATTAAGGCACTATTTACCCAATATTATGTTTTACTGATGCACAGATCCTCTAGTAAAGTGGAATAGTGTGATATCTGACATAATTATTTGATTTGTTACATGACAGTGTTGACATTTACTTTTATTTAGTAAAAAATTGCATATATAATGTGAATACAAGTAAAAATTCACTGTAAACTGGGAATGGTGGCCCATGCCTGTAATCCTTATCCTGTAATCCTTGGGTGGTTGAATAAGGACTTTCACAAGTTCAAAGCCAGCCACAATGATTTAGCAAGACCCTGAGCAACACAGTGAGATATTGTCTCAAAATAAAAAATAACAAAGGGCTGGGGATGTTCCTCAGTGGTTATGTATCCCTGAGTTCAATACACAGAACAAAAAATGGAAATTTAAAAATTAAAATTGAGTACAAAATCCCCGCAATACATTTTTCTTTTGTTTTTGTTTTAATTTTAAAATTCTTTTCAGATATATATGACAGTAGTGTATTTTTACATATTATACATACATGGAGTGTAAGTTATTCTAATTAAGGTCCATTCTCATGGTTGTATATGATGGTGAGATTTACTGTCGCATATTTATATATAGGTATAGGAAAGTCATGTTGGATTCATTCCACTGTCTTTCCTATTCCTATCCCATCTCCCTCTCTTCATTCTTCAGCCTAATCCACTGAACTTCTATTCTCCCTTCACCCCACTGCTTGCTGTGTGTTATCATTCACACATCAACATTTCAACTGACTATTTAACCTATGGATTTCTAGGATTGGCTTATTTCACTTAGCATGATAATCTCCAGATCCATCCCCTTATTGGCAAATTCATAAAGTCATTCTTTTTTATGGATGAGTAAAATTCTATTGTGTATATATACCATATTTTCTTTATCCATTCATCTGTTGAGGGCACGTAGGTTTGTTCCATAGCTTAGCTATCATGAATTGAACTGCTATAAACAGAGGCGGTGTATCTGTAGTATGCTGATTTTAAGCCCTTTAGGTATATAGCAAGGAGTAGAAAAACTAGGTTGTTTTAGTCACCCTTTTGGCTACTATGACTAAACTACCTGACAAGAACAACTTTAGAGGAGGAAAAATTTATTTGGGGCTCAGTTTCAGAGGTCGCAATTCACAGATGGAGACTCCATTCCTTGAGGCTTGAGGTGGGGCAGAATATCATGGCAGAAAGATGTGGCAGAGGGAAGTGGCTACATGATGATCAGAAAGCAGAGAGAGAGAGAGAGACGTCACTTGACCGATGCAAAATAAATACCTCAAAGTCATGCCCCAAATGACCCACCTCCGCCAGCCACATCCTACCCAACTTCAGTTACCACTCAATGAATTCCATCAGTGGATTAATCCACTTACTGGGTTAAGTCTCTCATAACTCAATCATTTCTCCTCTAAACCTTCTCACATTGTCTCATAATTTGAGGGATATCCAAACCATAACCCTCTGCCCCTGCCCCCAAAGCTTATGAACATCTCACAATGCAAAATACATTTAGTCCATTCGCAAGGGGTCCCCATAGTCTCAACATTTCCAAGGCTGCCCAAAAATTCAAGTTCAAAGAATATTTTATTTAGAGAAAGGGCCTTACTAAATTACTGAGATTATAGGTGTACGCTACTGTGCCTGGATCATTTTTTTCCCATGAAATAATTTGATGAGGATTGGTGTTCTTCTTTGAAGGTCTGGCACAGCTCAGGGAATCCATCTGGCCCTGAGCTTTTCTTTGTTGGTAGGCTTTTGATAGCATATTCAGTTTCCTTGCTGGACATTAATCTGTTTAAAATTTCTGTGTCCTCCTGATTCATTTTGTGTGGGTCTATATCTCCAGGAATTTGTTGAAGTCTTCAAGATTCTCTATTTTATTGAAATACAAATTTTCAGAATAGGTTTTCATTCTCTTTGGTATTTCAATAATGTCCATGATGATACTTCCTTCTTCGTCATGGTTTTAGTAATTTAAAAAAATTTCCCTCATTCTCTTGGCTAACTTGGCTAAGGGTTTATCAATTTTGCGTTTTTTTTCCCCAAGAGTCAACTTTTTGTTTCATTGATATTTAAATTGTTTCAATTTCATTGACTTTGGCTGGTTTTAATTATTTCCTCTCTTCTCCTGCTTTAGATATTCTTATCTATCTAGACCTGTTAGGCTTTGTGTGTGTGTGTGTGTGTGTGTGTGTGTGTCTGCATGTGTGACTTTGTATTCTTTTAATGAATGAGTTTCATGCAACCAACTTTCCTCTTAGAACAACCTCCACAGTTTCCAGAGATTTTGATATACCATGTCACTATTCTCACTTACCATTAAGTATTTTTTGCTTCCCCTCTGATTTCTTCTGCTATCCATTGGTGATTTAATATCATATTACCTAGTCACCAGGTGTTAAAGTAGCTTCTATGTTTTATTTTATCATTGATATCTAATTTCATTCCATTATGATTTGATAAAATGCAAGGTAGTATTTCTATTTTTTTTTTGTATTTGCTAAGCGTGGTTTGTGGCCTAAGATATAGTCTATTTTAGAGAAGGATTCATGTGCTGCTAAAAAAGTGTATTTAGTCTTTGATGGATAAAACATTCTATATAGTCTGTAACGTTTAAATTATCAAAATTTCTTTTAAGTTCAACAGCTCCCTTCTTTAGTTTTTATTTGGAGGATCTGTCCAGTGGTGAGAGAGGAATGGTAAAGTCACTCAATGTGATCTATTTGATTCTCGAAATTGAAATTTTTTTTTGTGGTGCTGGGGATCAAACCCAGGGCCTATGCATGTGAGGAAAGCACTCTACCAACTAAGCTATATCCCCAGCCCCAAGAAGGATTTTCTTTTATGTACATAGATGCTTCATTATTTGGGGGCATAAATATTTAATACTGTTATATCTTGATGATATACAATTCCCTTAAGCAGTATGAAATGGCCATTCTGATTAACTCTGGCTTGAAGTCCACTTCTTCTGATATGGGAATAGAAACCCCTCTTATTTACAAGATCCATGTGAATAATGTTTATCCCATTCTTTTACCTTGAGTCTGCAGATGTCTTTGCTTATGAAGTGAGTCTCCTGGAGACAACATATTGTTGGGTCTTGTTTTTAAATCCAATCTGCTAGTCTATAGCTTTTTGATTGATTTTTACAATGTTATTACTGAGAAATACTTTTTATTGCTCACCATTTTTATTTATGGTTTTTAATTTGAATACTTTCTCCTTTGAAATTCTTCTAGTGTAATTCCTCCCTTTGTTGGTTTTCAATTTTATTTTTCTACATTGTATAGGTATTCTAAATATTCTTCATGAAGCATTTTCTTGAATAGGTCTTGTGGTACAGGCTTTCTAATTGTGAATTCTCTTAACTTTTACTTACCATGGAAGATTTTTATTTCATCATCAATTCTGAAGCTTTATTTTGCTGGGCATAATAGTCTAGGTTGCTATCCATTTTCTTTCAGAGTGTGGTGTATATTATTCCTGGACCTGCTAGCCTTTAGAGTCTGGACTGAGAAATCAACCAATACTTGGATTGGTTTCCCTTTAAATGTGATCCGTCAGCTTTTCTGGCAGCCTTTAAAATTCTATCCTTATTTTGCATGGCAGGCTATTTCATGATAATGTGCCTTGTGTGAGCATGTTTTAATTTTGCATACTTCGAGCTTTGTAGGCCTGTATTTGATTTTCCATTTAATTTTTAAGATATGGGAAAATTTCAGATATATTTGAGAACATCGTGCATTACTTTAGTTTGTATCTGAGCCTTCATTTATCCCATAAATCTTTTTTTTTTAATATTTATATATTTTTTAGTTCTGGGCGGACACAACATCTTTGTTGGTATGTGGTGCTGAGGATTGAACCCGGGCCGCACGCATGCCAGGCGAGCGCGCTACCGCCTGAGCCACATCCCCAGCCCCCATAAATCTTATATTTCGTCTTTTCATGTTGTCCCAAATTTCCTGGAAGTTCTGTTCATTGACTCCTAACATCTTTTCTTCAGAGTCAACCTTATGCTCAAAATTACATATTTTGTTTTTCTTGTGTGGAACTCTATCTTCCAAATAGTCTATTCAGCCAGTGATGCTTTGCGTTGAATTTTTAATTTGGTTTATTGATTCCATAATTTTGAGGATTTCTTTTTTTTAATTTATTAAATATGTATTTTTTAGTTTAAACAACACCTTTATTTCACTTGTTTATTTTTGTATGTGGTGCTGGGGATTGAACCCAGGGTCTCGCACGTGCAAGGTGAACGCTCTACTGCTGGGCCACAACCCCAGCCCCAAATTTTGAGGATTTCTGCTTGACTTTTTCCCCAAATCTCTCTTCATTGAAGTGATCTTTCACTTCCTGTATTTTCTGATTACACTCTTTACATTGTCCTTTGCCACACAGATCAGTTTAAGTATGAACTTTCTAAACCCCTGCTCTGGCATTTCTTCCACTGTAACATCAAAGAATTCTGCTATTGTAGTATTATGCTTTGCTTGTGATGTTTTGTTCCCTTGCTTATTCATATTGTTTGTGTGTCTACCCATCTAACAGTATGAATTTTATGCAGCTGAGTTTCCACCCTGTAGACTTATAGTGTCTTTGAAGGTTTTCAGTACCTCACAGCTTAGGGGTGTTGTGATGAGATTACAATAAATCACCAAGTCGATATTAAAGCAGGAGAAGAAAACTTGATTCATTAAGTGGTAGTCTGGATTTACCATCAGATGGGCCAAGGATAGACTGCAAGTCTACAACCTTTGACCCCCTCCTAGAGTTTGACTATACCTTTATAGTCCAAAACCATATTGATTATAAGTGGCTGTTACTACAATTCAAAACCATAAACTAATATCATGAGATCTAAAATCATAAGAAGAAAGGGGAGTGGGTCAAAATGTCCCTAGTTGAGTAGAAGTTAAAGAATGATTACTAAGGTTTAGATAATCTCTGACAGGGTACATTGCCCAAAAAAATACAGGAGTCAAAAAGAGAACAATTTTACATTGTATAAGATTTTTTTTTTTTTTTGCCAAATATACTATGCTAGGCCACAACTGATGGATACAGAGGCAGGTGTTCCCACAGGAGAAGCACTTCTTACATGATGTGGAGTCTCAGGGTAAAATGGAGTCTGTTTGGTCATTTCCTATATAGCCTGGCCTATAACAGCAGGAGACAAACAATATACAGCATTAGAGCAAATAGTTCCTGTTTTGATGTCTACAATGTTATTTATCACAATAAACAGAAATGATGTGATGTGGTTTTGTCCACATTAAAAACAGTAAGTTTTCAAAAGGGTTTACAATTTTCATGGTGAACGGGGAGAAAATGGAAGCAATCGTAGTATGGGGTATTAAGAGGGGGGGAGAGAAGATAGAAGAAATAAATTAAAGGAAGTGTGAAAGAGAGAATAGACTTTCGCTGTTAGCAGAATTAAAGAAAGAGACTCAAGGAAAATAGATAAGTGAGAAAAAATATGTAAAGTAAAAATAAATTAGAACTAAAAGAATACAAAACCAAAATATGCTAATCAAACAGCCCTCAAAATGCCAAGCCATGAAATAATAACTACCTCCAAAAAATGCTAGAAATGAGCAGAGACAAATATGCATATGTATAATTGTCCATGAATTACTCAGATCACAGTAAACAAAATTAAAAAAAAATTTAAAGGTTTTATTGAAAACTTTAAAAAGCTGTTTCCATTAGAGTTCAAAAAATTCTTGGCTTCCCTTCTCAGCAGTGTTGGATGGGAGGTGGGCTGGAGTGTGATGTTTGTGCCACACACAGGGAGGGGTCATTGGTGTCTGAGAGATCCTGAAAGCAGAGATCCTGGAAGTGAAATTTAGGCTGAGGTAGGCTCCATGTTCTTTTTTGAATGGTGATTGACCTGAAGATTTTAAATCAGTGTACCTACAGGTCCCAGCAGTTGCCAATCTATGGTGAGGGACTGAATTCCACTATCTCCCCTCGGTTCCCCTTTTGGCTAAGGCACCAATCTTTTGTCCCCTCCATCACCCACTGACCCCATTTTTCTATTCTCTAGGGTTTGATCTCCAAACTCAATCACCCCCACTCCTGTCCTTTCAAATTCCTGGGCAGGCAAGTCTCTCCCAGGTTGTCCTGTGAACTGCTGGACTCAAGGAGAGAAGGCAACAGGGTGGGTTTCCATGACCTGTATCACCCCCTGTAAACCCGTTTGTTCTCCTCATCTCTTAGGCACTCTTTGTCATGTGATGTGGGTCTGCCTGGCTTGTAGTTTAGGTCCAGGTTGGGTTTCCCTGGAATAGGCTCCCCAGGTGCCAATTCCCACAGCACAGCTGCAAAATGGCTCCCTCCTCTGTCCTGTGCAGGGAGTTAAAGGGAAGTGGCTTCTTTCCTGCCCTAGGATACTGATACTATGCACATTATACCTTTCAGGTTAGTATAACAGTGACTGATCTCTGATCTTTCTGTACCCAGACATGCTACAGGCCTCCTAAAAATGTGGGCTCCTTTAAATCCCTTATCCCTCTTATTTGCTTGTGGAGGGGCCACGTAACTGGTGCTAGGGATTTCTTCCTTATTTGATTGCATCCAACCTCCTGAGTCATCCATCTGCTTACGAACTCTCTCTGTTCTTTAAGATTTATGTTTCATTAAAACCTCTGCCCTATTCTTAACATTGTAGGGCTTCTCTCCTGTATGGATTCTCTGGTGTTGCGTAAGCAATGATCTTCGAATAAAAGCTTTAGCACATTCTCCACATTTGTAGGGCTTCTCTCCAGTATGAATTTTCTGGTGATCTTTAAGACATGATCTTTGATTAAAAGCTTTGCCACATTCTGTACATTTGTAGGGCTTCTCTCCAGTATGAATTATCTGGTGTTCCGTAAGAAATGATCTTCGAATAAAAGATTTGCCACATTCTGGACATTTATAGGGCTTCTCTCCTGTATGAATTCTCTGGTGTTCCTTAAGATTTGTTATTTGATTAAAACCTTTGCCACATTGTTCACATCTGTAGGGCTTTTCTCCACTATGAATTCTCTGGTGTTCTTTAAGATTTGACGTTTGATTAAAACCTTTGCCACATTCTTCACATTTGTAGGGCTTCTCTCCAGTATGAATTCTATGATGTTCAGTAAGAAAGGAGCTTTTAGTAAAGGCTTTGTCACATACTTTACATTTGTAGGGCTTCTCTCCAGTATGAATTCTCTTATGTTCTTTAAGATATGATCTATGATTAAAACCTTTGCCACATTCTTGACATTTGTAGGGCTTCTCACCACTATGAATTATCTGGTGTTCAGTAAGAAATGATCTTCGATTAGAAACTTTGCCACATTCTTCACATCTGTAGGGCTTTTCTCCACTATGAATTCTCTGGTGTTTTTTAAGATTTGATGTTTGATTAAATTTTTTGCCACATTCTTGACATTTATAGGGCTTCTCTCCAGTATGAATTCTTTGGTGGCAAATAAGATATGATCTTTGATTAAAAGCTTTGTCACATCCTCCACATTTGTAGGGCTTCTCTCCAGTATGAATTCTCTGGTGTTGAGTAAGCAATGATCTCCGAATAAAAGCTTTGCCACACTCTCCACATTTGTAGGGCTTCTCTCCAGTATGAATTCTCTGGTGTTCAGTAAGCAATATTCTTCGTTTAAAATCTTTGCCACATTCTTCACATCTGTAGGGCTTTTCTCCAGTATGAATCCTATGGTGTTCAGTAAGAAAGGAACTTTTAGTAAAGGCTTTGTCACATACTTTACATTTGTAGGGCTTCTCTCCAGTATGGATTCTATGGTGTTCTTTAAGATATGATCTTTGATTAAAACCTTTGCCACATTCTTTACATTTGTAGGGCTTCTCTCCAGTATGAATTATCTGGTGTTCAGTAAGCAATGATCTTCTATTAAAACCTTTGCCACATTCTTCACACTTGTAAGGCTTCTCTGCAGTATGAGTACTTTGGTGTTGAGTAAGGACTGAAAAAATTTTTAAGACTTTGGCACATTCTTTACGTTTGTAGGATCTGTCTCTAGTACAAATTATCAGGTGTTCAGTGCCAAGTGAGCTTTTTTTCCCCTCAGTGCTATGATGTCTGAGACATTTAGAAAGGGTTGAGTAATTGTTAATGACTCTGCCACATTCTTTAGATTTGCAGGGCTTCTTTCCAGCATAAATCCTCGGATGTTTAACAGGAGGTGATCTTTGATTAAAAATTTTGCCACATTCTTTAAATTTGTGGGGTTTATCACTGTCATGGTATCTGTGGGGTTTAGAAAGGGTTGAACAATGAAATGCTTTGATACATTCTTTAAACCCATAGAACCCCCTTCCAGTATAAATTCTCTTCTATAGAGTAAGTTTTGCAATTTGATGAAGAGCTCCTTCACACACCTTACACTTGCAAAGCTGGTTTTGCCTATGAATATTTGGATGGGTAGTAAGTTTTGAGCACTGAAGTAAGGCTTTCCCACATTGTTTATCTATGTAAAGGGTCTTGGAAAAGTGAACATATTAATGATTTATTGCAACCAATACTAAATTTTCATGAGTGTCTCTATATTCAAAATTTTTATCACAAATAAAAACACACTGGTAATTAACCAGGGTAAAGACTTGGCTAAAGGTGTTACTTGTTTCATTATGTATGTAGTATACTTTCCATAAATCTATATCTGAATGTTCATTAAACAATAGTGGGTAAGTAAGGACCTCCCTAAAATTATTATAATTGTATGATTGAGCAAAAGGAGCAATTATTGTTTTACTGTAGAATAACACTGTGTAAAGGAACTCTCAAAAGGATCACTTTTAGAAATTTGTCCTTAACTTTTTAAAATTTGTTCTTATTATTATACATGACAGTAGAATGCATTTTGACACATCATACATAAATGGAATATAACTTCTCATCCTTCTGGTAGTACATGATGTAGAGCTACAATGAATGTGTAATAATATATGCACATACAGTAATAATGTCTAATTCATTCTATTGTCCTTCCTAGCTCTATGTCCCCTCCCCTCCTTTCACTTCCTTCTGATAATCCAAAGTATTTCTATTCTTCCCTAGTCGCACACCCACCCCCTCGATATTGTGTGTCCTTTACTTCTGAATCTCTTATCTACTCAATTGTTTGACTAGAACTTTAACTCAATGCAGTTGAAATTGGTCAAGTTAAAAATGAAAGCACGGAATAGATCTCTTTGCAAATTTTCCACATTTCCTTTCAGAGGAAATGGAAGTTTCAAAAATTGCTGTGGATGTATTCTTAAAGACATACATAGCTCCTCAAAATAACTGGCATAAATTGAATTCTTCTCTGTTGTATTAAATGTTCTGGATGTCTGTTGGCAGTTACATTACATTACAAATAGTCATTGCTAATTGGCTTTGTCCTTTGTAATGATTTCTAACCTTCACGCTCACTTTAAGTTTCCCATATTTTTCTTAGTTGTACATGGTCAAAGTCACAATTTTCATACCTTCCCTTCATCATTTTTTGAAATAAAGATTTTATTTCCTGCTCTGGTGGAGATTCATGGATATGATAAGTTGTGGCTGAAATAAATGAAAATAACAATTATTTTACTTATTAGACTGGAGTGAATATATTTAGCAAAGATAACAAAATTTTACCCATGTGAGACATCAGCAGTAAATCCAAGACAATCATTACTTCAGGAATACATAGAATAAATAAAAACGTACAAATTTGTGAGACTGCCCAAACCATTGTAGAGAACATAGGATCTAAGATGAGTACATTACTAAGGAGAAGAATATAGTAGAGGGAAGGAAACTGTGTTCCTTTTATCAACCACATTCTACCCTCCTCCACAATTTAGCATTGTGCAATTAGAAAAAAAAAATCTATCAACTCCCTTCACTGTCAGTAGTATAAGGGAAATATTAAACTTAAACAAATACGTGTGGCTTTCATGGAGAATGTGTGATAATTAGTTTCTAACTGCCATGACACAGACACCTAGAGGTAAGAGAGATTTTGCATGAAAATACCACAGAGATGTTCCACAGGGAAAAAGACACTATAGACTCTGAAGAAGAAATATGAACAAAAATATTAAATTGGAAAAAACAACACACATGCTTCAAAAAGATTCATCATGAAAAAAAGCTTAAAAGCAATAAAACCATGCATGGCCTATGACCACATTACCTGGATGAAGCCAACACATGGCAATCAAGACACACAACTTGTACTTTTGTTATTTGTGGACTTATTTCATTGAAAAATTTATATATGTACAAAGTATGTCATATTTTAAAATACATATACATGGTAAAATGAATAAATGTAGTGAATTAATGCATGCATTTTTTTCACATAATTATCAGTTGTGTGCTGAGAAAGCATTTCATTCATTCTATTAGTATTTATCAAAAGTACAATATACTAAACTCACCATGTACTAAAACACAACTACATCTATTGATATTATCCCCAATTTAAAAATATATATATTGAAGAAAGCAAGTTTTATTTTGTGGTTTTAAACAAAATCACAATTTCAAACGACACATAAGTTAAAGGGAATTGCAAAATTTTTGAAAGCTACCATTAAAATGCTATGGTTTTAACCTATAAATAAAAATAAATTCATCAATATATAATTGATGGTTATGCATATAATCTCTGCTTCTGGCAATTATGAGGCAGGAGGATTATAAATTCAAATCCATCCTTGATAACTTAGAACATTTCTCCAAATATAAATAAAAAGGGGCAGGGATGTATCTTATTATTACAGTACCCTGGAATTCAATCTCCATTAAATTTACAGATAGAAAATTTTCATTACTATATACATAGGCAGGATGAAAAACCAATGCAGGTAAAATATACAAGTCATTAAAAAAAACAGGTGTAATATTTATCAAAGCAAGTAAAAGCACATGTAATTTTATTGGCAACAGAAACATGGCTTAATCATATTTTAATTTCAACCTCCATTGTCCTAATTTTTGAAATGATGGAAATTGCCATCTAATCACAAAATAAAACAGTATAACTGATGTGAGAAAGCCTACTTACTTTATAAAATGAAAGAAAAAAAACGAAATCGTAAATAACCACAGATGCATTATTTTATAAACCCTTTTGTATAAATACAATTTATACCTGTAACTGTAGACCCAAAAAGACCAGCCATTGTGAATCTTGACATTCATTACATGGCAGAAACTTCACAGGAAATCCATTACTAGCATTCAAAAAGAGCTCTGATAAGAAAATTTTAATGAATAAATATACAAATAATGTAAGAGAAACTGATTTATGATGTTAATATACTCCAATGGTTTGACTTAGAGTTCTCCAAATATTGGCAGAGATATCCAAGAGACCCACAAATACTGGAAGTGCTGTCAGATCATGCTGACCCTCACAAGCAAAGGGAAGTGCTGTGGTGGGTAACTGGGATGAACTGGGGCATCCCTGGAGGAAAAGGACAATCCGAAAGCATGACAGATGTCACACCAGGAAAGTGAAAGATTAAAGACTAAAAGAAACATAATTAATATTCTATCTGTACCCAAGCATGCCCTATCTTTTTTCTTTTTTTTTAAAGAGAGAGAGAGAGAGAGAATGAATTTTAATATTTTATTTTTTAGTTATCGGCGGACACAGCATCTTTGTTTGTATGTGGTGCTGAGGATCAAACCCGGGCCACACACATGCCAGGTGAGTGTGCTACTGCTTGAGCCACATCCCCAGCCCCCTATCTTTTTTCTTGAAAGCACAAATCTGAAAATTATTATTGTAGAGAAGTTCCCAAAAGATATTCTGTAAGAGAATTAAATATAGTAATTAATTAGGAATTCTGAAAGGAAGTCATCCTCACCAAGGAAGACCAGGTTTCTGTAGTTCTCTAACATCACGTCTGCATATAAATTTTGCTGAGCAGGCTCCAGGCATTCCCATTCCTCTTCAGAGAAATCAATAGCCACATCCTTGAATGTCAATAGTTTCTGGAATAGAAATTGTATGTAAATAGCACATTGGCCACATGACCATTCACAGAGTTTTAAATTTAACTGAAGTTGAAATAAGATTTAGTAGAAATGGCTGTCTTGTAAGTGAGGGTCTTCCAATATTTAGTGAGATACTTTTGAACACAGTGATACTCTCTATGATCTAACTCCAAGGAAAAAGGGATGTAAGTCCAAAAAGAGTGCATATGCTTGACTTTTATAAAGTAAAATATAAAATTAAGGCATCCACACAAGAATAGACATTTTAATTGTTGTTTTATATATCAAAGGATAAATTGTGTATATTCCTCACATGAGAGAGTTATGGAAGGGTAATTCTCAAATTTTAATTGTACAACCATGAATCAGAGATTTAATAAAAAGGAGACCCTGATTCAGTAGTTCTAAGATGAAGCCTGGTTTTATGAATATGTGGCAAGCTCTTTGGTGATTTCAATAACAGTAATACAAGAAAAACTTGGATTGCAAGGAGGTAGACCAATAAAAGAATCAATCATTGATATTCAAATATTGAATAAGATTTATGTGTGTCATTAAATAGCAAAAACCAACAATTCTTTTTGATAATTTGAAATGTGTACATATCGCTCTAAGAGTTTTTCATATCTTAATTCATAAAACCCAAAATAATGGGATAGCAGTAAGAGTATTCATTTGTTTGTGAAAATATATGAAGCATCCAGTAAATGGCAGGGCTTGATTATTACCAAGTTTGTTTGGTCTGGAATTCAGAAGAAACACTAATGTCAAAAGAAAGTGTGAATGATAAAAAAGAATTTTAGAGAAAGGCTGTTATTATAAATGAGATCAATTTTAGAAATATGTTAAGACAACAAAATCAAATTGATCAAATGATATTTATATTTTCCATACACAGACATAAAAATGTCAACTTTTTATATAGTAAAACAATGACACAATGTGAATGAAAGAAATATCTTCAGTTTTTAAAAACTTGTACATGAATTTGGGATAGAGTCCTTTTTTTCAAACACACTATTGACCCAGGCTTGGTGACACACTTTCAAGATATGAGAATGATCTACTTACAGTCCAGCCCAACTATGAATTCTGATTTTCAAATATTATTGCTGCACTGAACCACCACAGCTCATGTGGATATGAAGTGTACATTAAAATGGCTTATTTCATAAACATGTCACCCACCTGGGATTCCAGATTAGCCAATGACCTGAATCTCAATGTCAGATAAAAAGCATACTAGCTTGAGCAATAAATAAGTCAGGACCAGAGACAGGTACATAGGTTCCTGGAAATGTCAATGTTATGATTTAGATTTTAATTGTCCCCAAGATGCTCATGTATGAGACACTGCAAGGTTCAGACATGAAGTGACTAGGTTATAACAGTCTTACCTAGTCAGTGTATTAACCCCTGACAGCTGCAGCATGGTAACTGTAGGCAGGCAGGGTGTGGCTGGAGGAGGTGGGTCCCTGGGAATATGCCTTTGGGGTTTATATTTTTTCCTTCTTGAGCAGAGCTCTCTCTGCTTCCTGGCACCTTGTTCCCAACTGCTTTTCTCCAGCACAGGCTTCTGTCATGATGTTCACCCCAAGGAATGGAGTTGGGCACCTATGGACTGAGACTTCTGACACTGGGAACAAGCAAATAAATTTTTCCTCCTCTAAAATTGTTCTTGCTGTGAATTTTGGTCACAGCACTGAAAAAGCTGACTAGAACAGTCAACATGCTGCCATAATTGGGTCCCTAATTGTGGACTAACAGGTAAACTCTTGTATGAGGCCTTAAAATAAATAAATAAAACATTTCACTTACACACCAGAATGCCAAGGTGCCTTTGAGAAGTTAAAACAAAGTCTCATGAGAGCCCCTGCCCTAGCCCCTTCTGTGCCTGACTCACAGAAGGTGTTAAGACTCTATGTGAATGAGAAACAAGGTACAGATGCTAAAGTTCTCTTACACACACTGGGGGTATACTGCAGCCAGTAGCCTGTGTGTGGGAACAGCTTGACCACACCATGAAAGGAGGCTCCTCTGGGGTGTGACTGACACCAGTGATTTACCACAAGAGGTTTAGAAACCCACTCTAGAACAATCCATCACTGGGTTTGTTGCTCACCAAGTCCTGTCCTACTAAAACAGAAGGATGGGTGTCAGCTGACTACTGGGAGGGTAGGGAGATTCCAGGCCATCCTTTTTGACAATCTAAATGTCAACTTCAAGAGAAACCATGCCACCTTAAATCGAGGAAACCTGTTGCCAGCAGATGACAATGGCCCAATACAATGTGACTGCTCAAGATGACTTGCCAGACTAAAGTGTCTTCACCAATGAAAGCAAGTTCATAGGCAATGGCCAATGGATATCTGGGTATTCTGCAGTCATGGCACAACAGGTATTAAAAGCTGAGACTCTGCTGCTAACAACATCAGCCCAGAAAACCAAGCTAAGTTCTCTCACATGAGCTCGGACTGACCAAAGGAAAGAAGGTAAGCAAGGGGCTGGGGTTATGGCTCAGTGGTAGAGTGCTTGCCTAGCACGTGCGAGGCCCTGGGTTAGATCCTCAGTACCACATAAAAATAAAATAAATAAAATAAAGGTATTGTGTCCAACTAAATATAAATAAATAAAAATTAAAAAAAAAACATGCCTCCAAGATGGTACATGCACATGGAGACACCTGGAAAGAAAGAGGACTCCTCACAGCTGAGAAGAGGACACTAAGGCTGCCCCTGAAAATACTGTCAATAATACAGGCTGTCCACCCCATAGCAGGTGGTGATCCTGCACTATCCTGCCTTGAGACAACTGATACCTGTGTGGCCAGGAGAAATCAGGCTGCTGACAGGGCAGTCAAAAGTGTTAGGAAGGACAAACTCCTTTATCAGGGCCCTAGCACCTCAGCTTGTAGCAAACCAATTCCAAATCTGTTTATACTGAGGATAATGAGAAAAGGGGCAAATAATGGAGTTGGGACTTTGGGACAACAGTGCCAGGTGCAGACAGAAATCGCATAGGCTCACCCTTCTTCCTGAAGCACCCTCTGTTCTTGATCAAACACTCCAAGGAGAGTGCTACTAGGGGAAGGGTGTCAGTTTCATCAAGCCCACTTGTGAGGGCCACGCCTCCAGTGGACTGTTCAGCAAGTGATTCAGAACTGTGTCTTCTGCACTCAAACAATTCAAAGTCTAATACACACTTAGGGTATAAAAACATAGCCTTCTGATGACTGACAAGCATACTTTACCCAAATGCCCATTCATATAAACCTATAAATATTTGCTTGTACTGGTAGATGCCTTCTCTGTGAGTCAGGCTGATTCTACTAGAACAGAAAAGACTTCAGAACACTAGTCCTCTTAAAGGAGCTGATCCCAAGTTATGGGCTCCCCTCAATACAAACTAACAGGGACTATCTTTTATTGCAGAACTGACCTATGAATGAGCAAAATATTGCATATATAATGAAAATATGTATTCTGAAGACCCCAATCTACAGGAAAACAGAAATCATCAATCATCAATCATACCTTTTAAAAGAAGGTGGCTAAAATATGCCAAGAAACCTACCTGCTGTGGGATAAGGTTCTTGTCAAATGCTCTCCTCAAAAGGGTATCCACAGAACAAGGATCAAATTGAGTATGGGGTGTGGTGCTGAGAATCAAGGTGTCTGACTAACTTGTGGTCGTGGTGCGCTTGTGCTAGTATTCCTCCATATGAAAGTATAGGGTTAACATTTCCCTGTGCACAAGTATAGGGTTAAGATTTCCCAGTTGCTATGGCAATGCTGGCTATACTAAAAATATGCCAAACAAAGGAGAAAGCAAGTCAAGTTAAAATGAATAATAACCCTGAATGTTAATGGCCTAAACTCAACAGTTAAAAGACAAAGACTGGCAGAATGGATTAAAAAAAAAAAAAAAAAGACCCAACAATATGCTGCCTTTAAGAGACTTATCTCATAGGAAAAGACATTCAGACTGAAGATGGGGAAAAACATATCACTCACATGGACCATGTAAACAAGCAGGGATTTCCATCCTCATATGAGCTAAAGTGGACTTCAAACCAAAGTTAGTCAGAAAGGATAAAGAAGGTCATTTCATACTGCTTAAGGGAATCATACATCAACAAGACATAACAATCATAAATATCTATGCCGCAAACAAAGGAGCATCCATCTATATCAAACAAACCTTTCTCAAAAATTTGATGCTAGATACAACTTAGAATTTTATTTGTTTGTTTGTTTTAACATTCATCTTCTGGGAAGTAGATGCTTTTTTATAATACCCCTCTCAGCCTGTGCTGAAATTGTAAGTAAGAAAACCCATCATTCCAAATTTTAAATTGCTTTCCACTTTCATGTCACATGAACATGAAATTGACTCACTTTAAAAATTTTTATTTTTTTACTTTAACTGACAAAAATTGCCTACATTTATGGTGTCAAACATGATGTTTTGATAAATGTATGCCTTGCAAAATGGCCAAAACCACACAGAGACTTAGGGAAATCACATGTGACCATGACAACATGTAAGAACACAGCTGTATTCATCCAAACATGGGAAACCCAGGAGGATGGTTCAGGAGAATGTACATTTTGGAAGAGATAAATGAGGAACTGTGGGGAAAATGGTTACTAGGGGCCAGCCACATTCTTGCTCATATCATATCCAGTTTTAAAATAGTACAAAGCACCATATTTAAGTTTTATATAGGTATCACCTGCATGTGGTACCTTCACATGTATACATGTTGAAAAATAAAATATGTAGAAATTATGACAAAATAAAAATAATCAAAAGCACATGAAAGACTCAAGCACACATCCCATGTGTAGAAAAACCCATCATTACAAAGATGACCATTTTCCACAAAATTAATCTCCAATATTTTACCATCAAAATTCCTATGTACATATGTTAAAATATCATAGTGAATTTCACTTTATATATATCTATGAAGCAGGAGTTTTAAAATCTATAAATAAATAGACCAGGAAACAGCGAATGGGGAAGATAGGAAGACAGGGCAAAGGAAGTACTGGGGCCTGACATGG